TAAACTGACGGGATGTCGCTGACTGAATAATTAGTTCCGGAATCATTAATTACTATAAACGAATCGGAATTAAATCTGGAAACTTATTCGGTTACTAAAATAAGTAAACCGAATAACTTATCGACTAATAGTCGAACATAAGATATGACTGACTGATCAATCTGAACATGAACATGAACATGATTATTTATTAATAAAGGCTAGCTTAAAATTAAAAGCTAGTATTTCCTTTATTAATAAAATACGGGGCGTTACACAAAACCCACTCACGCATCATTCCCCTCCTCTTCGGAACTTTCCTTGTCCTCAAGGATTCATCCTCGACCATCCAAACATCGGGCACATCTTCTTCGACCTCTAGGACTATGAACGTAAATTCCTCATGTACGCCCTCTTCATCCCCTTCGATCATCATGTACGACTTACGCCCATGGTCCTCCTCGACCTTGATTACCTCAGCTTCTTTGGCCTCGCCGTCGATGTCATTCGCGTGCTCGATCGCGCCACCAATTATCTCGACGACCTTGAGTTCCTCATCCTTTGCATAGCCCACAACATCAGACGAAAATATGGTATCCTCGTCGAGAATCCCCGCAAACTCGAACGAGAACATGGGTTCATCGTCGATCTCGATACCCTTGCGCTCGGCTTCTTGCTCGTACGATCCTGGGAACTTCTCATCGGCCTCGGCTTGTTGCTCTTCTTTCATGATCTTGAGTTGTCTTTCATACTCCTCCTTTTGCTCGTACATCTCCTCCAAATAATCTTGCTCCCAAGGGGTTAATTCCCTCTCCAAACTTTCGAGGTATTCGAGATCCTCCCAATCCCACTCAACTAATGGTTTGAACAACATCGTCTTTTTTTTTTTAAGACTCAAATTTGAAAAATAAAAGGGAAAATTCGAACCAAAATTCGAATCCCAACAAAAAATAAAGAGAAATTCGGCCCCTCAGCAAAAGGCAAACCGAAAAAAAAAAGAAAAAGATAGATAGATAAAGACACGATCAGCACCTCTCAATGAAAGCACCAATGATGACGGATCGTGTTGTTATCTATACGTGGGTTGTGAATAAACGCGCACTAGGGCCTTCGCTTATCCACGATAGGTGTATCTAACAGACGCACTATCGGTCTTCTCCTAGACACTGTGACTTAAAGATGCTCTAATGGCCTTCTCTCCGACACTGTATGTAAACACGCACTAACGGCCTTGTTTAGACATACGTAAGAACATAAGTTCCCCTCTTAATTGGCTCACCAATTCAATACTCAATTCAACATGTCAATATGATGAGGTACATGGGGTATTTATAGATGCCAACTACCTCTAATGCTAATCTTACTAGGAAACTATTAAAACAATAAAATATTAAATCCTAAGGCAAGTAAATATCCTACTACCATAAAATCCTAAATCTACTAGATCTCCTAACTACTTGTCTTGCACTCCAAGAAAATCTAGAAGCTTGAGTCACACGCCTAAACTCTAAACCGCCCTTGCGTACTCAGCCGCCCTACGCGTCGCCTACTCCTCGTGGTGCTAGGCGTCGTGCGCCTTGCCCTGCACGCGCGCGCGCACCGCCCCGCTCGCCTAGTCCTTCGATGACTAGGTCTCGCGCGCCTGCTGCGCCACTCCTATTCCTTGTAGGACCATGCTTCGAGCCAATATCCACTATTCATATTCATACTAGGAATATGCTCCTGGTTACGTGTAATACCCCGTTTTATTGTAGATTATTTGGGAATAATTATTGATTATTGCTATTATTAATTGTCTTTATTATTATTATTATTACTATTATTATTATTATTATTATTATTATTATTATTATTATTATTATTATTATTATTATTATTATTATTATTTTGTTTGTCAAATTTCTAATTGCTTATATATATATATATATAAATATTATGTGTTTGTAGATATATATCGTCCGGATTAATTTACTATTCGCCGTCAATTGAATCGATTAATATTTCTCGATTTTTACTCTCAGCCGATTACAAGTTATTTCTAGCTCGTTTGTGCTTTTAAATTCCAGTCCATTTGCTATGCAATTATTTTGGCCCAACTGAAGTATTTTTTTTAGCCAATGGCATTTTAATTTCCAGCCCAATTGAGCTAGGCCCAATTGGAATTAAGTGAAGCCCTTTTCCTTTTACTTGCGCAAGAGATTTTGGGCAGAAAATCCCCTTCTATCTCTTCTTCCTCAAGCGCACGACCAGGTCCATTTCTCCTCGTGCTGCGACCAAACCCAACGGCTTGAAAATCTGTTGCGATTTTGGCGGAGGATTTCGCACGTTCCTCGTCGATCTCGTGTATATCTACCGAATCAGAACAATCCCCTCTCCTCACTCAGTCCTCTCTCGTTCAAATTTTAAATTTCTACCGTCTGCAACCTTCTTTCCCGGCGAGTCATCCAGCATCCAACCACCATTAATTCCGGCGAGCACAAGCTAGATACCCGACGTCCCCTCGGAGCAACCCAATTCCGGCGACTATCAACCTCAACCGCGAGAACCTCCGCTGCTGTCCAATAATCGCCGGAGATCCACCATCGGCTCGAGCGTGTTCATTCACCAGAGAATTTCATAGAAAACTTGTTCGTTTCCATTCGCCGTCAGAACCTGTCGGTTGGCGGGAAGGTCGTGTCCAGTCCTGTGTTCGATAGCTCCGAGTTCAGGCTCGTTCGTCCATTTTTCTGATTTCTCGTAGGTTCCCGAAGACGGGTAATTTCCTTCGATCTTTTTTTTTTTCAGATCCTGCGTATTCGAGATATTCGTTGATTATACCGTGTTCGTTGAGTCGATTCCTCGTTAAATCGTTCGCTTTAATTATTGGATTGCATATCATTTTGTTTGTGGAATATTCGGGGATGATCGGAACTCTCGATTTTGTAAAATTGAGTATTCATTAGACTGCGTTGGTTGTTTCGGATTGTTTCGGAGTCCCGTTATGTTGTTTCGGAGTTCCGTTCTATTGTTTCGGGGTCTCGTTGTATATTATTTAATGTCGTTTAGTTTCGACCCAAAAACCCTTTTTAAAATGTTTTGAAACTCTGATATTTAGTTGTTTAATTAAATCCCCGGACGTGATACTTGCTCGAGCATTGTCGTCGAATTTGGGTCGTTGATATTGCAGCTTCTGTTCAATTGTTTCGAGCGTCTGTTCAGTTCTCCAAACAATTTTTTTTCTGGTTAAGTCGCAGTTCCTTTTTAACATTCATCAAAACAACTGTGCAAATTATCAAACAAGGAGTGCCTGTAGTCTAGTGGTATGACTCACGCTCTGGGCGTGAGAGGTCCCGGGTTCAATCCTTGCTGCCCGCAACACTTTGTTATATATTTTTGCACCATACTAGCATCAGCAGCGCGGGCTTCATAGCCCGCTAGCGGCCCGCGCGAGACCCAAACCCTCTTGTACTTCTGGCCCGCGTGTGAGCCCGAAGGGCCGCGCTCCTTTTCCCCTTGGCAGGCTATTAGTATGGGCCTTTCAACCCCTGCAGTAGGCCCAAATAGTGGATGTATTGGCAGCTTTAGCCCAATTGACCTTTTTACCCTATTTTGTATTCCGGAGTCCGTTTTTCGTACCGTATTTAATTTTAAAAATATCTTTAAAAATGATAAAATTTTGGAAAAATTATTTTAAGTCTCGAAACATCAAGTTTGTCCTCCGAGTCATATTTGTCAAAAATAAGAGAGTTCCAAGTCCACGAAAAATCCGATTATAACCCTTAAGTCTTAATTTTTATTAAGTGTGGGTTTTATAATAAATTGGAGAAGTGAGATAGATTATTGATAGAATATCTCGATTAAATGTAGGTGTTAGAGGAGTCGAGCCTCATCCTACGTACTTGCTTTCGTGTGCAGTTTTCTACCAAAATTTCCAGGTGGGTTGTAATTGTAAAATTTACTATGCTTTAAATGTTATTATTGTTATTATTACTTTACTTGGTATGATCAAAGTATGCATGTAGAACATGTAGCCTCCGACGTGAGCTGTATCGGCCGTCGAACGGTTATCCCCGTAACTATAGAACGACCCCGATGGGGAAATCTCTTCTTTGTCCTTGCAAAGGACACGTCGCTTGAGACTAGGGTTGTGCTCGGTCAGCGATAAGTACCCCGATGTAAGTCCGATGGCTAGGCCGGGCCTTTGGGGGAGACTCCTATTGGCTGGACACTCGTTGTAAGACCAGAAGGCCGAGGGCCGTGGCTTTCTGATATATAGTCGGCAGTAGCCTATTGATATGGGTGTGCACATGAGAACGAACTTGGGATAGGAGATTGAAATAACTAATTATTTACGTATACATGCTGAGACCATACTTTTGATTATTGATCATTGTTTATTATTGAGATTAACATTTATTGCATAGTGGTGAGCACTACTGTTTCTATTTGTGCTCATCCCCACCTGCTCTTCATGGATGCAGGTTAGTATTGCGGGCACGGCGGAGAGGGGCGAGTGGTGGTCATATATCTGATATTGCTTCCGCTTATTTGAATTGTTATTTATGCTTTTCGAATAATGAGTATCGAATTATTGTTAGGGAGTGAGCTCCATAGTATTTATGAGTTTGAGAAACCCGTTCAGGGAGTTGATGTTATTTATGAACCCGTTTGGGAGTTACATTATTGATATTACTGGAATTTATTTTGGAAATGAGTAGCGCCGCCATGTGTTTTGAAATAAATTTTGAAAAATTTATTCTGATTTTCGTTAAATAAAAGTGGGGCGTTACAGTTTGGTATCAGAGCCAGTCTGCGTTTCTGTAGACTGGTCTAAGCATTTATTATGTGGTTATGTGCTTTGACATTGTGATATGACCACTCGCTCTCGTCGTGCCGCGCCAGCTCAGCTATGAGTACTTGAATAGTTTTGAGATTATTATATATTATTGATTAATGATGTGATGAATCGGGGCTTAGGATCTATCTACCTTGAATTTAATTGAACTCTAGTGTTTAATTGGCGAACTCTAGACTTCAGTAAGTATTAATGATTTTGTTTGTTCTTGTGCTAAACCTCGTTCGACTTATTCAATGTAGAAGCATGAATACTCGCAACAACAACCGTAATCGTCAACCATCCCCGCAGCCTTCTCCATCCCGGCAGCACCAGGCCCCTCCGGCGATGGACCTTACTCAGCTTATCGTTCAGTTTCAGCGCATGAATGCGCCAACTTTCACGGGGACTGAGAACCCAACAGCAGTGCTTGAGTGGATGAAGGAGCTGGACAAAATCTTTGCTGTACTCCCCCTCCCCGACCGTCAACGTGTATCTCTCGCAGCTTACCAGATGAAGGAGGATGCTTCCGACTGGTGGATTGACCACTGGGCTCGGAGGCCAGAGGCGGAGCTTTATGCTCTCACTTGGGAGCAAATGAAGACGATGGTGCGTAACAAGTTCCTCCCCCAGAGCTTTTGGGACAGAATGGAGCACGAATTCTATCACTTGCAGCAAGGCAGCTCCTCGGTGGATGAGTACATCCGCACTTTCACCCGTATGTGCCTTTTTGCGGGTGATGCGGTGAACACCGATGCTAAGAAGGCCCGGAAATTTCTCAAGGGTCTCAACCAGAGAATCCGTGAGTTGGTGGGAAGTCATGGACCGATGTCCTATGCTGATACCGTGAGCCGAGCTCAGGAAGTGGAGAGCTGTCTCATTCCGGTTGTTCTTATTCCATCTTATCCTCCTGCCTCTCAGCCTCCTCAGGCTATCCAGTATGCTCAGCCCATCTCGACCGTGCCGCCCGGCTCTAGTTCAGGCAAGAGGAAGGCAGATTCCCACCGGGATGATCGAAAGGGAAAGCGTAAGGGAGACGATCAATGTGGTAAGCACCATGTCAACCAGGGTCAGAATCAAAGGTGTCGTAACTGCGGTCGTCACCATGGAGGAGAGTGTTGGCACGCCCAGAAGGTCTGCTACAACTGTCAGCGCCCAGGACATTTTCGTAGCACGTGCCCTGAACTACATGGACAGCAGCCATTTCAGCAGCAACAACCCAATCAGCAACCCCGTCATCAACAATTTCCCCCGCCACCACCTCAACAACAGATTCAGCAGCAGCATCAGCAGGCCCAACCGAGGTATGGCGAAGGAGGTCAAGCACGGGTATACACGATGGCCCAGTTTGAAGCCGAGCAGAACCAGGGCTGAGCAGTCGATCGAATGTCAGATTTGAGTTGATTATTTGTTCTTTCTTTTGTTGGAACTTCGTTTCTCTTTACTTTTGATAGACCTTGTTTATTTCCCTTTGTCTTGTTAGACAAGTTTGAATTTCGTTTAGAGACTCCTATTGGTATGTTAATTTTCGCGATTTGGAAATTTCTCTTGTCTTTTCTTTCTCGCATGGGATAAGATTTCTGATGGGGTTAAGAGCCTTAATTTTCTGTTGATCATGTTGTGTTCTCAAAAAATGAAGATTTCTATTTCATGAACATCGTGAGTAACATCGATTGACCTGTGATGAAGTATAAGCACCCTGATAGCAAAATCGGAGTATTAGAATTTTGTATATGGGATTGGGGTCGCAAAACACTTGGGAGTTTCCGATATTCGTGCACGTATCATCACGGAGAGATGTAACAGTTGATGAGGAATGAACCGTAGCTACTGGATGCGGGTGGTGCAGGTGTACTGCGTGTGGGTGCCGCGCACAGGCGTGCCACGCTCGGTGATGCATCTCGAGTTGTAGGAAGTGCCGTGTGTAGTGTGCCGCATGTAGCGTGCCGCGTTGCCGCATGCCAGGCCAGCCATTCATGTCACAGCTGCTAAGTCTCAGGCGTGTAAATGCGTATTGATTCCGGGAATTTTTCACGTGTGTTGTATTGACCTAAGTCTTATTTGAAGGACTAATGAAGTGAAGCAACTTTGGAGGGTTTTACCTTTAGGAGTTGTTGTGCTAAATTGAATTATTGTACCATATGAAGTGGGGAGCTTCGTGGTAAGAGAGGAGGCTACTACCAGGTTATTTATGTTCCATGATGACTCCCGACCAAGTCGAGAGCGAGGCGACTTGGGGGAGAGAAACCAAGAATCGAAGGGAGTACCAAATTCCATGTTTTGGTAATCCCTTTGCGTTCTAGTGCTTTCTAGATGTTTGTTTTCGAATTCCGAGGACGGAATTCTTT